CAAATTTATAGCTCTGACTTAAATCTCTTCTAATTCTACACTCCTATATCCAACCAAAGACACATAAGAATGATGTCTGGAGTCAGCTTCTAAACTCAGTTATTACATTTTTGAGGATTTTTTGCAAGCCTCTTGTTAGCCATAGCCATTACTAAAAACGAAATCATATAAATGAGCAAAGGTAATAGTCAAAGCTTGGGTTAGGGATGTAAAGTTTCTCTCTCTCTTCCTCTCCCTCTCTTCCTCCCCCTCTCTGTCTCTCTCTGTCTCTGTCTCTCTGTCTCTCTCTCTCAGTGCTTGCAAACATGTGCAAGACCCTGGGTTCGACCTCCAGCATCTGTTTCTCATGATCTAGCTGTACGTCTTTAGCTTCTATGCTGTAGGGGCTATTTACATCTCTCTGTATTGTGGAAATATTATGCAATTGTTGCTACTCTCATATCTCTTCCTCATCTATGTTTGGTAACATCACGTCAGTAGCTCAAAATCAACCACGGCAGGAGTATTGCACCACAGAAACTAGTTGCATTGATTTGTTTTATTCATTGCCTAGCTATACTTAAGACAGTATGAGGAAATGTTAATAATGCAGACTAGATTTATAGTACTGTGTGAGTAGCTGTTATTCTACCAGTGTCACTGACATGTGAAGTGCTGGCATTTGTCTCTACTGTCTCACCTTCATATTAATGTAAATAAAAATATCAACCAAATTCATCTTAGAACTGTATTTGCTCAACAACTAACTGCAAACATTAGTAGGCCAGGGGAAAAGAACTTGGCAAAAGCCAATTAAAGCATTCTGAGAAGTCAAGCTTGGTGGCACACACCTGTAACCCTAGGTTCCTGGGCTGGGGATGCAGCTCAATGACAAGAGTGCAGTCCCCTAGCACTAACGTTTGAAAAAGTAGAAATGTCATTTCCATGTTTAAACCCCTTTAGTGGATATCCATCCCACTTAGAGCAAAGGTAAAGTCTCCACAATGGCTTCGAGCACACCACAGTATCTGCTGCCCTCTCCACTGCTGCTCTGCTCTCACTCCACTCCTGCCCACTGCCTCTTAGCTGTCTTCAAACACTTTTCTCAGTGAGGTTTTCTGATGATTTGACTTAAAATTGCAATCCCCCAAACACATGAAAGTAGACATCTTTGTAACTGTTAAATTAAGGAATTACTTTGTGTGTGCACATGCACATGCAGGTTTGTGTATATGTGTCAAGGGTTAATTATCTTTTTCAATTGCATCATGCCCAGCTCTCCACCTTATTTTATTTTTTGTTTTATGTTTATGAGTGTTATGCCTGCATATATGTAAGTGAACCCATGTGTGCAATGCCCACAGAGGAGAGAAAAGGGTGTTGGATCCCCTGGAACTGGAGTTACAGATGGCTGTTGGCACAGCTGCCATGTGGGTGCTGGGAACTGAAACCAGGTGTTCTGTTAGAACAGTGCTTTTAAGCACTGAGCTATCTCTCCAGCCCCCTACATTTTTGTTTGTTTGTTTGTTTGTACAGGGTCTCCCTGTAGCCACTGCTGGCCTGGAACTCATTATGTAGACCAGACTGGCCTATATCTCCTAGAGATCTGCCTGCCTCTGCCTCCCTACTACTGGGATCAAATGTATGTGCCACCATACTCAACTCCTCTGCCACATTTTTTGAAACAAGGTCTCTGAATCTGGAGCTCACTGATTCAGCCAGGCTGGTTGGCCAGTAAGCCCTGAAGGTCCTCCTGTCTGTGCTTCCTGGGATCACAGGTGTGTCCCACTGTATCCAGCCTTTTCCTGGGTGCTGGGATAGATCTCAGGTTCTCATGCTTGCATGGCAAGCCCCTTACCAAATGAGCCATCTTCCAGCCAAGAAGAGAGGAGGGAGGAGGACAAGACAGTGAAGGGGGACTGAATATGATCAAAGTACATTGCATGCATGTATGAAAATGTCATAACCCATTATTTTGTACAAGTAATAATAGAAAATACACTAATAATAGAAAAAAAGAACACATACCAAAATTGCAATCCCATCTTGTCCCCATACCATCCCCTCTTCTTATCATCTAAATAAATATGTTTTGTATTATGTTTTAACTTTTAATCCTTTCTCCTCCCACTAGAATAAGTTCAATAAGCTTATTTTATTTTGTTCACTATATTAAAAACCCTTAAAAAGTTTCTTGTATAGACACACAACAATCTGTTGAACCAACATCATGAGCATCTTAAATATCCATGAATAATGTCTCTGAGCTTATTGTAGGAAAGTGGAGGAATGGGGATCCTAGAGGGAGTCCCCAATCCTTTCAAGTACTCAGCTGAGACAGGGTGTAATTTGTCTATATCTATGAGTCTCCCAATTGTGTGGGAGCCACATGAAAATAATTGCAGGGGAGCTGGAGAGATGACTCAGAGGTTAATAGCACTAGGTTCTTGCAGGGGATCCGAGTTTGAAACTCAGCACCCACATGGAGACTAACAACTGTAACACCAGTTCCAAAAGATCTGATGCCCTCTTCTGTCCTACTCAGGCACTGTACAACATGGGTGCACTTATTTACATGCAGGTAGTACACTCATACACATAAAATAAAAATAAATAACTTTTTTTTAAAAAAAAGAAAAGAACGGTGCTTTTAAAAAAACACCTAAAATATGTAATGGACATAATGTGGAAAATTCTACCCTGTTGACTAAAATCAACAACATCTCATATCAGATTCCAGCATAGACAAAAAAGCAAAAACAAAACAAATATTCACTGAGTATCTCATATATGAAAGAAGAACACAAAGTAATCCAGGTACTACCTTACCCTCAAGATGCTCCCAGCATGATGGACAACAAGGTGGCCATAGAAACTGAAAACCAGACATTACTGTCAGCTCAACTGTTTCCTGGTTATGAGGACCATCACAGCCCTAAAGGACCATCACAAGACATGGGGGAGGGAATGAGTGTAAGGGCAGGGGCACTTGCCTCAGCCTCACCTGGAGCATCCTATCTCCTATTTCCTACCTCTACTGGCAAAGTGGTCTGCTCCTGAAGAGAGAGGCCATCTTGCTGCAGAAAGACAGCATACTCTGAAATCTAAAGGGCTGGGTTCAAATCTTACTGTGTGACTTTGTGTTCCGCTTCAAAGCTATGCTAGCTGCAGCTTAAAAAGTAGCCTGACACTCAAAGCTCTTCCTCATCTGACCCCAACCACCCCTCCAGACTCATATGCTCCATCCCGTTTTCATTCCAAACAGCCAAGCCCCCCTCTTAGGCTCTGCCTTCATAGTCACTGCTTTCCCACTCTGACATCTTTGCCTCCAACTTTGACAATCCCATTCCTCTCAAAATGTGCCATCACCACCTCTGGGCCTTAGAGCTTAGTCTCTCTCCTCAACCTGAGCATCTACTCTTGCTCTTTCCTGTTCACTCACCACAGGAAAGCCAGAGGGATCTTGCTACAAACTAGGACCCACAGAAGTTTTTTGTTCTAAAGTCTAATTTTTACTGTGGCCCACCAGGCCCTGAGACCTCACTCCTACCCCACCCTATTCCCCTCACATCCTTTGCTCTCTCAGTTTCACCCAAACCAACTTTCTTTGTTTCCCAGTGCTCCATTTTTAAAAATATTTTA